CACGAGTGTAATTTGGCGAATATAAAGATATATTTAAAATAGATCAAAAGATTGATACATTGATTTGAGATACATCAAAGGAATGTAATTTGGACTGAAGAAAAGAAGGATCTTGATACATTTTGTGGTCGTAAAATTTGAGAGGAAGGTATCAGAAAAATGTCAAATTTCGAAAGATCAGGCTTGCAACACTGGAAGCTTGCACTGTAACACATAAATTTTACAAATTCATGGAATTCGACCGTTGTTGAAAAACATCGATGAAATTTACATCATTTGCTCGAAATTTTATGTAGATTTTGATGCGGATAACAAACTCTTCACTTCCAAACAAGAAGAAAGAAAAAATTCAAATTGACATAAATCTGTTGGAAGAACGCAGAGATAAAAATATTTTTTCGAAGATCCAGTAATAAATATTCCAGAAGCTCGAGTATATACCAAATATTTTTCTTAAATTAGAGATCCTCAGTGATTGCTGGATACACCAACCTGCAATTCCTACAAATTCACTCCTTTCGTTGCGTGATGTTGAAATTCTCTTCAGGACAATTCAATTCAGAACTAAATCGCGTTACTTGTGAAAATTACGTTCAATTATCACTGTGTTCTGCATGAAGCCAGCAGTAACATTCATGCAAGTACACGCACGTACGTAATATCATCGAGATATATTATCCAGCTAAATTGTTGAACAAACACCGACGAAATGTTACCTTACGTAATGTTTCAACGCGTGCGCGATGCTTTCCGCGTCGTTCAATTTCCGCGTTGATAGAATCTCGACCGAGGACGTAACGCGGCAAGATTGATATTCCGTGTCCCAATGGTTGTCACGTCGCGTCACGTCCACGTTTTATAATTTGAATTTACGCCACGTGTCGGTCCAGGCAATCGGTCCATGGTTCATTATTAATTTCCACCCCGGTCAGAAGGGCTGAATACGGCGAGTGAGTGGCAGAAATTTGTTTATTAAAACGTCACGACAACGCGGTATCGCGTGTACCATCTCGTTATTACAGAGTAGTGCAGCTCGGCCGGTTCTCTGATGAAACTTCTCTGATGTTTATTTATCCTATTGTAACATGCGGTTCAACTAGTTCGAAACTTTGCGATCCACCGTGTTCCACGCGATGATTCAGTGGCGGTTACGTACAGCGAGCGTAGAAAGTACGTTGAAGCATCGGCGATTTCTCCATTTCGAGACGAATATTATCACGCTAGATAAAGAATTTAATTTTCCCTATGATTTCGAGCGAAAAAAAATCGCTAGTTGAGCTAAGGATTTTCATTTCTTACAATGCCGAATTCGCTTCTTTTTTTTTTTTTTTCAAAGATGATCTTACGTCATTTCGAAGTAGGGGAAAGATATTCTGCATCTCGAAAATTTGGCAAACTCAAACATCTCTATGGACATTGAAAACATTTTTTTTTTCACTACGGCCTTGAAGATTGAAGTCTTTAGGACGGTTCTTTGAAATTTGCTTTTGCTTGTAATATCTTTCTCCACGAAATTGTAAAAGTTTCCGAATACTTCACACACTCACTGTATATGGATTCGATATTAATTAAACAAAATTTTGACACGCACTCGTCAGAATTTTTCAATTGTAAGTGTAAAGAATAAATGTCCCAATATTTACGATATATGTTTCGACTTGGCCTGATCGAGCCAAGTAAAATTCGAATCTATCATGAAATTTTTCAACAGCGAAACAAACCTATTGTAAAACCACAATACAAACTACTGCATCGCAGTGAACGATGTTTTCCAAATTTTATATATATATATTAAATCACCTGATCAAAGTCATCTCGAGTTCTGCATTGTAGAGAGCAACCTGTAACCAAGAAACTACAAATATTAGCAAATAGTGCGTATTAATCCTTATAAATGATGACTGTAGGTAACTTATTAAATCCCTTCTTATATTATTTCTAACATACAATGGACCAAAAAATATTGTCACCTTCAGTAAAGTTAATGAGATATTAGCAAAATATATTTCTATGAATAGTTCACCACACACGAAAGTAATGTGCAATGGTAACAATTTGAGTTATACAATGATAATATAAAGATCGAGAGCCTAGGAAATATTGACATACTCGTAACTCCAGTAACGTTGAAAAAAATTATGAAATATCCTTCTGTAAGTACTTGAATGTTATCGAATGATATCGCGTTAACTTTAGGAAAAGATGCTTGTCTTTAAAGCATTAAAAATATCTTATAATTGATCTAAGTACATAGCAAAG